AAATGTATTATCAAGATATAGGAACTCTATATCCCCGAGTCGAATAAAGCAGTCTGTACTAATGGACTCAAAAGCCAGTGGGGTTGTCCCAAAATGACCGAGGTAATGTGTCGACGAAACGTTTAACTCAATTCTGTTTTTTTGTTTGTTTTTTTTTAAATTTAAAGGAGCATTAGGTAAGATTATAGTAAGGGAGCTAGAAAAGACATTGGTGGAGGCTTTGGATGCTCCTTATTTCGGCGGACTAGGGTCGTTTGAATTCACCAATGTAATATTCTTTACATCTACAGTTAAGAGTGTATCCGCGAGAAGACTAGGCAAAAATCGCAAAATGTGCTAAGATAGGGGGTCGGAAGTTTTTGATCAAACTTATCGTATGACACAGCCTAGGGGCAAGAGGTGATATGCTGAAGTGGTTACAACCTGATCTCGCTATAAAGGACTGTACTGGAAATAGTTATTTTATGGGTAAAATTTTGGTTTTCACATGTGTATTTATCGCCCTTTTTAAACATAGATTGCATTCTATGGTGCAATAGCAACCTATTTTGACCCTATCTAATAAAGCGGGTGGTCAACTTCCACCCCAGTACTAATTTGAAAAAAAAACCCCAAAAAACCAGTCCATACTAATTTTTTGTGGACTTGTTTTAGGGTACCATGTTCACATTGTCACTGTAGTACAGAAAAAGACACACTGTAACTTTTTCTTTCATGGTCGCGAGTAGAATTTCTTTGGATGGTTTTGAAGTGCACATAGTATCAATAGGTGTACAGAATGACCGGAATAAAACATAAGCCTTTGTGGTACATGTTTTTGCAAATTATACAGGTTCATCATATCCATAGCCATCATTTGTACAATGTGGTACTGTATATAAGTGTATATTTGCATTTATTGTATATTTTGTATGTATTGTCGTATTGTCCCTTTAACATATTTGTTGTATTGTCTCTTTAAGGTTTTATTTTCCAACAGGTCACCGAAAATGGCTACAATATGTTCAATTTCAGAGAATATTTCCACTATTCATTTTGGGACACATCCACTGATTTCTACAATTCTGCAATACAAAAATGTGGAAGCTTAAATTTTAACGGCAACGCAGCTTTGCGTCGAAGTGGGCGACGTTGAACAGTGTAGCATGGTAGCTACGGTTCTCGAGCGCCGTCAGCTACACCTTCAGGGCCGGATTTAGAATAAGAGAGGCCCTGGGCAATCCCCTGAACAGGGCCCTCGACATGGACATTGGGGCCCTGGGACAAGCAACTCGGTGAGGGGGTGGATCGGGAGCAATCATGCGGTTGGTGGTTCGAATCTCACTTTTAGGTGAATTTTTCATTTTTGTTTGGATTATTTTATTTAAAATAATGTCTATTTGAGAGTAATGGATATGTTTTGTTAAGATCATTTCACTGAACACGTCGATACTCCAATGGAAGCTCGTGGATTGAAGCCATAGCACCTTCTGCATGGTGTTCTCGCAGTCACGATCTTAATTTGGTAGACACCGCCTTTCGGGAAGGTAGGCTTGGTTTGAGGTCAAAAATGGTTTTGGATCTTTTAGTAAACCTGGTGATAAAGCCTGCTTTTTATGCATTTGGACGATTAGATTTGTAGTAGATATGTTGGTTGATGTGTGTTAGTTTCCTGTACACTGAGGTGGTGACATTGGAGTTATCTCTTCTTACCATTTCATTAAGAAATGGGAGGCTGCAGTTTCATTCTCCAATGTGAATTTCATTCTTGGATGTTGGTTGTTCAAGTGATTCAGTAGGACAACAATATCATCTTCTTTTTGTAACATGACGAAGGTGTTATCCATCTTTCTGAACAAGAAAATAGGTTGAAAAGGAGCGGTTAGAGTGCCTTCTTCTGGTGACATCATGTAAATTTCGGAAATCAGCGAGGATAAAGGATTTCCCCTCGGTAAAGGAGCGGCTAGAGTGCCTTCTTCTGGTGACATCATGCAAATTTCGGAAATCAGCGAGGATAAAGGATTTCCCATCGGTAAACCATGAATCTGCCCATAATAGTTTTTCCCCCATGTGAAATATGTGGATTCCAGGCATTATTGCTTGATCAAAGGAATGTATCCAGTGGTGTAGAAAGTTGTCGAATACGGGTTTCAAGAACTCTGAAATCAAGGTTTCACCGTACGAGAGCAATTCAGTGGAGACCTTAATGAAAATATCACTATGTCTGGAAGAGCTAGGAATATCATGAGTATGACAAATCCTATAGATTGTATTTAGGTGAAACAGAATGGACATCGGGGACTTTTAGAGTCATCAACTAAATCAGCTCCCTTCTCCGAGAGCCGAGCTATATAAAACCCGTACTAAGCCGAAAAAATTAATGTTGTACGCGGAATTTGAATTAACTTATGTCTAAAGGGGTGTGGGACGAGGGGGGGGGGGGGTAAAGGGGGTGTTCTTAAAGGAGGAAGGATGGGTGGTGGGTCTTCTTCAGCAGTGTTTTTGATGGCATCTGAGACGAATTAAATCGTCATTTTGGTCATTTCACCCATGGGTCACCCGTTTTGTTGTTCTTATCCGGGATAGAAGGGGATTTCACGTTCTTAAGTTAGTGTTGTGTTCTAGCAGACCAATAGTGAAACTTTTAACGAAAAAATTAAATGTTGTACGCGGAAGTCGAATTAACTTCTCTCTCAAGGGGCTGTTCTTAAGAGAGGAAGGAAGGCTCGGGGTTCTTCTTAAGCAGTGTTTTTGGCGACATCTAAAGTTGGTCAGACCCCCCCCCCCCACCACCATGGGAAGGGGACCCACAACTTAAGAATCAAGGTTCAGAGTATCAGACACCGCTCCACTCTTTTTGCACTGATTGGAAACTTAATATTAACTCTGCAAAAACGAAAGTGATGCTTTTTAATAACAATAAGATAAGTCTGAAAAACAAATCCCAAGTGAAATTCTTTTTTAACAATCAACTGCTCAAAACTACTGATGAATATCTATATTTGGGAGTCTATATAACGAATAACGCATCCTTCAAAAGTGCGATAAATGAATTAAGTAAAAAGGCTAGGAGGGCATGGTTTGGTATCCGTCAGAAAGTGTGCACCGATGATCACCTGCCAACCGAAGTACTCATAAGACTGTATGAAGCAGTAGTGAAACAAATAGCTCTGTATGCCTGTGATGAATGGGGGTCGCAAATAGTAAATAGCAGAAATGTGAATTTACACAGATGGAACTATGTGGAGCATAATAAAATCACAATAAAAACTTGCAAATACATTTTACTCCAACCCCAAAAATCTTCAAACATATAGGATCATTGGCTGAACTAGGTATCTTCCCAATTCAAATTGATATTTACCAACGAATGTTGCTATTTTATAAAAGATTAAATACACCCGACATAAAACGTACAAATTCGTTACTATCCGCCGCATATGTGGAAGATGTAGAAATAGGCAAATCCAATCCCAAATTATCATGGTCAGCAGCAATATCCTCCCTCATGGACCAGTTCAACTTATCTCCCTTGCAAATTCAATACTATTTATAAAACCGAATATATTTCTGGCAATTCAAAACTTAGAACTTATGGCACTGTAAAACCTACTATAGACTATCCAGCTAATTATTTGCTTCGTGTACACAATACAAACTTAAAGTCTGCTATGACCGCACTACGATTGGGTTCCCATAAACTAGAAATAGAGAGGGCCGGTACAAGAACGTCCCCCCTGATATGAGACTATGTGCACTCTGTTCCCTCTTTAAAGTAGAAACCGAATTTCACTTTTTAATTGAATGTCCACACTATCAATCTCTTGGGCTAAATATTCTTTCTGCTACATTCAGAACTTAACACAACCGTAACCCACTGTTTAGTGACATGGTCATTAAATCGAGTAATGTCCCTTAGTCCACTCCACAAACACGTTTATGCGGCATGATATAAATATATAAATATTCTTATATTTATATGCAATAAACACCGACTGTTAGTCAAATTGTGTTGACTTCATTGATGTCAAAACTACGGTAACATTTAATTCTTTTCGTGTAGGCCGGAGATAGAAAACAAAGGTTCAATGTGATGCATTCTGAGGTATATTCTGGGCAAGTAACACATTAAATACAATAGAAATATTGAACATTTTGTGTATTAGAACATAAGTTTCAAACTTCGATTTATAGGTACAAATCCTCCATTTAGCCCCTTTAACGACAAACAGTCTATGTTAAAAGGCTATATTTATGAGAAACCATTAGCCAAAAGTCGATTAAGTTAAAAAAAAAACCTGTCAATCTATCAGAAACTTTCGTGGTGATTTTATTGTGATCTTCATATTTTAAACCAAATCGAATAAAAATTGTGACCTCTACAGTGTTCACAAGCTAAAAACATGATTTTTCGTACAATCAGGGGCCATCATCCATGAAGTTACAGTCCGATACATGTCAATATCGAAAGGAACTGAAATCGGATAAAAATTGTGACCTGTAGAGTGTTCACAAACAATTGTGGACGGACGGACAGACAGGGGCGACGACAATATACGTCCACATGAAAATGTGGGCGTATAAAAATTTTAGTGGATGTAAAAGAAAACATTAAAAAAAATTCCATCCCACAGCATGAAGTGCCTGAAATCCGGGACATTTACTGACCATTGGGTGGGGTGATGCAATTCCAAACTGGAGTTCAGAGTTTCAGAAAATCACACAATTCGTATTTGGATTCAGGGTGTCTAGTTCTCAAACTGCATATGATAATTAATAATTAAGTATGGTGATGAATAATGTGTATTATTCTAGTTCTTAGCAACCTTCACTGATTTTTGATCGGGTGCTAAAGTTATGTACCTGTAGGTTCATTTTTCTGGCAAAAATGATACAGCCCTCCCCCAAGAAAAATTGGCCTGTATGCCTATGCTTCTTTGAATATGAAGTTGACAATATCTTTCTTTATCCCCTCCTTAGAATTTGAAACCTGGGAATTCTAAGAAAATAAAGAGATAAAGTTTATGTTTGGAATTTATACATTTTATTTTGTTTTTATTACAAGTTATAACAAGTATAGTACACGACCACGTGCATATTTATTGCTATCACTTTAGTGGCTCGTTTGTTCTGGATGGTAAGTCTACCCGACTAGTAGACTAAAAAAAAACATGCTATTTTATCATTTTGTTTCATACAATCTTCATATCTATAGATTAATTTAACAAAAAAAATTTATTAAGTACAAAATTCTGTACATAATTATATGTATAAAGCATAATATATATTTTACATAAATGATGAGATATGAACACATTCAGAAGATGAATGACAATATAAACATTTTCTTGAAGAAAAAAAAAGCTAATGAGAGGAGAGTGCTTACAATTAACATGCCATGTATAAAATTATCATTGTATAATTAAATTCTTCAAATAAATTTCAGATTTTTTGAAAATATTTATTTAAAATGAGGATAATCTGCCAAAAGATACGAAAATGTCTTTGTGGATTAAATTTTAAATTGAGTTGAAATTTAGACGTAAAACCTATCTAGCAGTACTTTTTATACATAAGCCACACATACAAGAGAAATTTCTATGTTTTTCTAATTTAATTTATTTACTATATGATATGTAAATTCCTTCAAAATATCAAGAAGGAATATAAGTATATATAATGTTAATTTTCTAGATTAGCTTGTTATAACAACAAGATGGTGTCTCTTCAAAGAAAGTCTATCAACACTAGTTGAATTTTCTAAAGAACATTCATGATGAGACATTAAGTTATAAAAAAGTGAAGAAAAACAGTTACAAAGAAATTTTTGTTTTAAATACAATAGATGTATGTCTCCCATCCACTCGACCAACGTTCAAACACAGCACTCGCACTAAATAAACACTATTCACACCTTACATACATGTATATTTACATTATTACATATATTATTATCACCCCTTATACTATTTAGTTGTCATAAATGTGAGAAACATTGTCTGGTTCATTATGCTATTAACTAAGAATGTGCTACCTTTTTGAAATAATACTATATTGAATAAATAGTAATTTTATGGAACCAATCCAGATCTCATAGGAATTTATTCTACAATTTCATTTTTATAAAGAAATTAATTTTAAGAAAGAGATTTTATTAAGTACATTACACAATATGGAGACCTAATTATTGTATATTTTTTTGTAAGTAATATTAAAGTTTAAATGAAATATTCTTTAGAAATGGTATTTTTGTTGGGAGTGATAATGTTTTAATTTGGTTGAAGATGAGATATCACTTATTTTAATATGTACAAAAATAAGACACACAATATATACAAAATACATATTTTAATTAAAAAAGTCGTATCCATGGGCCAAAAAAAATCAAAAAAAATCTAACAGAATTGTCAATAATGCATCAATTTAAAACACAAGTTAAGAAATTTTGAGAAATATTTAAATTAAAACTACAATTTCATAAACAGTTGTAAAAGAATTTTTTATAAGGCTGACTACTAAGCATATATTTTAAATATATTGTAGTAGTTCACATAAAATCTAACCAAATTGAGACAAAAAGATATTTTTTTAAAATTAAAAACTTATTTTACGAAAAAAAAGTACACCAAATAAATTGTTACATCAATAAAAAGATACATTTACATGTAAAATATTTGGCTGCAAGAGTTCTTTCATACAACTGCAACATCCAGATCACCAAACATGTCCCCTTGTATAGTGTTTGTAGTACCACTAGCCAATGTGGAACCATTGCTTTTTATGTGAGGTTTTTATCAATAATGACTGCAAGTCTTTGCATAGCTCAAGGCATAGCACTGTTTGGCTGACATACTAAGATAATAATAATAATAATATACAATATCAGTAATAATATAGCCTTCTGGTGCCATTAAAAACTCTTGTTCAATAGCACTGCATATATTGCGTACACTACAATATTGCTGCTTCCACTTTGCATAATGTAACGTCTCTTGCGGTTGGATACCTTCCATATTAAACATAACACAATATGAGATTCTGCACTATAATTGTGTCTGCAGGAATACCTTTATCGTGGTTATAGACTCTTTATAACCAGTTTGTAATTTTTAAGTCTTTATCTATTATAAATAGTCTGGATCCAGACAGTTTTGAACTGGTAAAAAATCCCAATAAATACTACCTATATACATTTATGAGTTCCATACAATATTTTCAGGCTTTTATCCACACCGTTTTTTTTCTCTCTCTCTGTATATTCAAAACCTGGTCACAGACGTGCTCATGGTAGGTGGTCTATGAGGTTGTAGGATAATAAAGTCACAATACATATAAACCACCGTCCAATCAAATACTTCGTAATATATGATAAACTGAGCTCTTGTAACACAACACCTAGATTTAGAGTGAGCAGTTCGACAGTATCCAAATCCTAGCTAAGGACACTACTGTATAATTAATATATGACTTTGGAATTTTGTATCACATGACCTTGATTATCCAACCATGGTCTCTAATATATAGCTGATCAGCTGTTCGGCCAATCAAAATGTCTGTAAAAACTAATCACAGATTACGAACTATACAAGAAATCCTTCGGACATTTGTGCTCCAGCAATTTGGGCACGTAATGTTTGTATACTGTTCATTAATTTTTTCTGATGTCCTACTAATGATATTCCGAGATTAATTAAATCTTTCACTGTAACACGAGATATTTGGTCCATTGTGAAATAGTTTGCATGAACAAAATTGTCAATATATCGTTCCATTTTTATAGAGATTAACCATTCTTCAACAGTTGTAAACTGGGTCATATCAGGTACATTGGGATCTATAAAATTGTGGGGTCTGAAAAAAAAAATAAAAAAATCTAAATTAAAAAAAAAAAATGTAATATTATAAAAGTATTTTTCCATTTTGAATACATTGCGCTGACTTTATGCAGCCATATGAAATAGAAATCTGAAGAGAAAAGTTAGGTTGACCAGTAAGTTCTCTGCTAAAGATAATATATAGATAGTCTGTCTGCTCTTTGCTTGACATGATGACATATGCAGACGGGAAGCCTCTTTGAACATGTGAAGTGAATCTGTAGACTTAATATGAAGCAAACTGATCAGATTCCACCGACAAGCTCATCCAATATCATTGACAGTTTATAAATCTAAAACTGAGCAAACTAATTCAAGTGTGTATTCTTTCATTTGTAATAATAACTGCTTCCTCACCTTGGCTTAGCCATTTTTCTCAGCAGTTCAGGTGCTCTAATAAGTTTATCTAGAGTTTTGACAATGTGGTAAAACTTTGGTCTATGAGATCTTTCTCTCTGCCAGCAATCTAGCATTAATTGGTGTGTTGCTTCTGGACAATCCTGAACAATAAAAGATAGATATATGACTGACATGTATACAATAAATTTTAATTTTACCAGAAGCAAATAAGTTTTGACCAAAACTTGTCTTCACATTGATGAATGATTATAATTTGGGAAGCAGATGTTATATGTATTCTATATTAAAACAACAAATTTGTGTTGTTAGATATACTTCTGTAATGAAAATAAATTCCAATACACTTTTGTAATGAAAACAAATTCCTATGAAAGACAAATTTAAACCATATTTCAAAATATATTAGCTTACCATGGGAGGTGGAAGTCTATAACCTTTCTCTACTGCCTTAATAACATCTTGATTGGACCAATTCCAATATGGTCGTTCACCATAGGACATTATTTCCCACATGACAACACCATAACTCCATACATCAGAAGATGATGTAAACTTTCTAAAAGCAATGGCTTCAGGTGCTGTCCATCGTACCGGTATCTTACCTCCCTATAAACAAACAATAAATTTTATACCAAAAACTCAAATATTTATTTCATTTTAAGGATAACAGATAACCTTTGAATCAATAATTTGTACTACTTTAGATCATAATTTGATGTATAATCTTATTTCAATCACAAAATATTAAAAGCTTTTTATATTGTTATGCACTCTCAGAAAACCAGTGTCTCTTGCTAATTTTATCAATGAATGAAAACAATTGTTTTTATAAAAATGTATATGTTAATAAAGAGGCATTATCACTAATTAAATATAAGCAATAAGGATTGTAGTTTTAACTGAGGACATGCCTGGCACTAATAAACTAGTACCTGGCATTCTCAACTTTTCACATATATTATAAATATCATCAAAACATTGAGAAAAGACAAATCTGTACAGGCCAAAATTGCAGGCAACTGGGGGATAGTGCCTGACAAATGTGTGCCTGACTTGAAATGTGTTAATGCCTCTTTGAAAGATATCGCAGTATACAAAAAGACTCCATGCAATTAATAACACAGCAATTTAGGGAAAGATTATGAAAGCTTTTACTATAAATTAATATCATGCAATCAATATCATATATTAATAGGATGGTGTTATAATAACAGGTTAAGTCTTTGATTAATAAACATACCATGCAATGTTATAATTACTAATTACATCATGCATGTTAATTATATCACACAACATATATTAATATTTATTACTAATACTAAAATACCTATATATATATATATAGTAGAATAGTTAATTAAAGCTGCTCTTTGGTAATATATAATTGAAATTAAAGATGGCAAAATAAAACTACATTTTTATGCTAACGTTTTCACCGCGATAGCTGCTATCGCGGTGAAAACGTTAGCATAAAAATGTAGTTTTATTTTATCATCTTTAATTTCAATTATATATATATATATATATATATATATATATATATATATACGTGCACTGGATTTATAAAAGTAATTGTTAATATTAAAATTCTTACCGACAGTCAACATATTTTTCAATTATATTGTCTTTGTATACTATACCATGTTCATTTGATACACTTCAGTCATAAACTTTTTAAATTTTGTTTCATACTTTACTGTTTCTAACCCAGCCCCCTCCAAAAGTCTTCAGATAAAATTCTTCTACATGGCCAATGTGAAACATAACCAGAGTGTTTCATATTTAGGTTAAAACTTTTAATTTCACCTTACCTTTTCAAAATCTCCAGATTCCAAACGATTATTCAAAATTTTCCATTTCAAGGAATGATGTTGATAATAAATGGTTTGCTTTATAAAATTCCTTTAGTTTTCTTACCTTGTTAATCAAAACTAAAGATTTATTTTAGTGTTTAATATTAGTTATTAGATAAGTAATTAGTGTTCACCATGCCCATATGATAGTAAAAATAGAACTAAACCAAAGGAGAAAATAATAAAATAGCTACTACAAATATGTTAAAAGAAGTTTTAATCAAGACACAAACTAATATAAAAGAAGATTATATTTCTGAAAGAGGTTATATTAATTACCATTAGGAATATAATAATAGGAGAATTAGAACAACATGGAACAAGACATGCTTGAATGAAAAATTTACCTTTGTAGTGTAAGCACCATCTGTATTATCAGATTCTATTTCTCTTGACAAACCGAAATCAGCAACTTTACAAACAAGACTTTCATTAACTAGAATATTTCTTGCAGCTAAATCCTAAAAGAAATTTTTCATATCATTAAGTAGCATTCAAAATCAGTTGTGAAATTTTCTGAATAATATAACTAATTCTAATAATCTCTAGAAAGAGAAATGCATTTTATTATCCAGTGAACACAAATCATGATTAGGAGGTCATACTCCTCATTTCAATGTTTTGTACAATGATAAGACCATACCCTCCATGAGGTTTAACATCCTACTCTTTACCTTCTTCAACAGGGATAATGAAGATGGGCATATTAGCAGTAACTCAGACAGAAATATTGAATTCCAACTGTCAAGGGTTCATGGGACCTCTTTTTTTTATATATCCCATCGAAATGACAAAACATTATTCCTTGTCCGGCCCTCCTTCCTGCACCACAGGCAAGACTATGATCTGCAGTGCCCTATTTTTGGACCATTGATGATTCAGCCACCCACGCCTTGCCAAGATCTTTCCAGAATAAAACCATGTATAATCAATCATATGCTACTTACCCTGTGAACATAACCCATTTCTGATAAATATTTCATACCAGCTGAAATACCTCGCATCATACCAACTAATTGAATAATAGTAAATTTCCCATCATTATTCTACAAGAACAGAATAAATATATTGTTTATATAGGATTTGTTATGTTTAACACTTTGTTAATTTTCATTAAAAAAAAAAAAAAAAATACATTATTAAGTTGATTTATAATTAATAATTATATCTTCGCAACTAAACCTAAATAATATATTATCGAGTTGATATATAAAATTAATATAATGATTATTACTAATCATAGCGTAGCAACTTTTAAGTTAAAACCTAAATAATATATCACTAGGTTTATAAGTCATTTATATAATGTTTATTACTAATTACATCTTAGCAACATTCCTTAAATATGAAATTATTAGTCCAATATCTGATTAATTATGGTAATCACTAATAGCATCTTAGTAACTTACCCTAATTAGTATATATTATTAGGTCAAAATGTGATTATAATAGCAGTTACTAATTGTGGACTAATAACTAATTCCAAATAAGATATTATTAGGTCAGTATGTAATTAATGTAATTACTAATTATATATCAGTAACTTACCCTAAGGAAGGTATCAAGAGAACCGTTGGCCATAAATTCAGTAACAATCATAATAGGGTTGTCTGAAAAGAGAAGAAAAGGTATTTTATTAGAAAATAATTTCAAATTTTCCATACATATAAATAGGATCAAACAAACAGCTTATGAAGGCTAGCAGCATTTATAGCAACCTAACTACAGATTTAGTTGTGATAAGATATTAACAAGAGTTACCTCTCTTATATCACTATCGCACGTACACTTACTTTTAGTAATAACACCTTCTAAGAATATAACATTAGGATCGTCAAACTGCCCCATAATACTAGCTTCAGTGAGAAAATCTAAACGATTTTTTTCAGTTGCTCCTGGTTTTAAAGTCTTAATGGCTACAGTCATTTCCGGTCGCCCTGGTACCCGTAATTTACCTTTACATACATCACCAAATTCACCTAAAATTATAATATTTACTACAGTTCCAGAAAATAAAATACAAACATTAAAATATAACAGGGGACACAGTGGACATAAACTTTATGCATCATGTAATGGATAATGGAGCTTTAAACATACATTATGCAAGAGCTAAATCTGACCATTGCAAGTCTTTATTTAGGCTTCAGATTTTATACAAATTATTAATTAGACCTTTATTTACACGACAAACTCAAAATCAACTCTGTAGAGCCACGGATGGCTTGGATACAGTTTGGATTTAAACAGTCTGTCAATCAAAAAATCGCCAATTTTCACAGACAGTGAAGACACAATTGATGCCTATTTCTAGTCCAAACTTCCCAAAGTGATAATTCCGTTCAGAACAAAGTAATTTGACTGAAATTTTCAACATTTTCTTTTTTTATCATCTACTTTTGAATTATTATAGCAAGAATGGCCAACTCTTTATAAAACTCTTAACTAATGTATCTTTAACCGTTCTTCCACAGATTTGCCACAATCAATTTATTTTTAGTATAACTAGCAAGTCAACCTCTTGGTATAATTTAATTAAGTTAAAAATTATAATCCAATTGGTATGTACTGCTTGGGGAAGAGATTTAATAGCAAAGCTTTAATTAATAGTGAAAGAAAGTCAAAACAACAACTTACCACCACCCAATACAGATTCTATAGTTATATGTGATATATCAATTTCTCTGGTAAATTCTCGTACAGCTTGATTAGGGTCTTCATAAGTGTGCGGATCAATATACGTTCTGACAGAACTATGTATAGAACCAGGAGATGGGAACAATGGCATTGTTACTGAAATGAAAATATTTAATATCTATATATCACTAATGTATCAGATTATGAAGAGTTTAATGTTTAAAGACATGGCCAATCGGGTGAATATTTTAGATTATTCTAGTTCTCCTTGCAGTTTGCAGTGCAACAAATCAAAACTAGTCTAAGACCATGTGCAACAAAGTACAAATGCACAAAAGCAAAAAAGCCCTGGACTCTGAAGCTGAGAGGAAGAATCAACAAGAACAGCTAGGATACAAAAATACATAAGATAATAATCTGAACTAAAAAAAAGAGAGAAATGTTCTTTATATATCTGTCAAAAACTAGAATCAAATATTGGACAACCCAATTTTATACAGACAACCCTGACTTGAAATTTGAAACATTACCTACAAAACACAATGTCTCCTCTAAAAGACATTAGTATCCAGGATGACTATTTTGTGAATTTATATAACAAATGTTTGACTAGTGTAGCCAATTTGTTCATTAATCTATCCTCCGGTTAACTCGTAGCCCTTCAAATTCCAAATGACAACCATAAAAAAACATTTGGCACTTTAGAGTTGCTGTATCCTATTATGATTGAATATATTATATTGTTAAGCAAAAAGCAGCAAGTTTTAGATGAAACATGAGCTAATACACTATAACAGAAATAGGTGTATAATGAGTAAACTGATTCTAGTTTCAACGTTTCATGATAAAGAACAATGAATGGTGAAGAATAAAACTACTTACATCCACCATTGATATGTGGCTCCAACTGGGGATAATGGAGGACTGAGAAAAAAAAAACAAAGGCCATGATAAAAAAAAAAGGCAAGCCATAAAGCTTATATTTCTAATTATCAAATTCACTTAAGAGTGATTTTCAAAGTCAAGAGGAAGAACAGTTCAATGCAAGACATTAATTTGACTATTTTCATATTTTCTTTGTTGTATGACTAAATCAAATAAAATTTCTTCAGCCAATTTGGCGATTATTAACATCATGTTGTGAACAGACACACTGTCTGTAACTCAGATTAATGATTCCTTAAATACAAATTGAAATCATAATTATATTTAATCTCAGATTATCAATGTGCACTATTTACACTAATCAAAGATGACGTGAAGTGTCATAAGTACCGAATAACCAAACCCACAGCTTCAAAATGACATGAAAATGTGTGATGTTTTTCAAGCAGGCGTTATATGGTAATCTCTCGGAGGTATTTAATATTCTTGTAAGTGAACGTGATAATGAAGAATATTTGCATGTGAGCTAAAAGAGCATGATATGAAGTGATATTCAAATGTGGATGTATACACTAATGTTTGAATATATAATGAAAGATAAATAAAGAATTAACATAATAACAGATAAATTCTAAAAAAAATACATAATGGAAAAAACAAAAGTCATAAATTATAAATAAAACAAATAAATATTTGCAACATATGCATGCAAGCTATCGGTACTTGACAGAGTATGATGTTGATATAGGGATTAGAACTGCCATTAATCTAATTTAAATCAAGATAAAATGGCATTGATAAATTGATGTATTATTCATAAATTTTACAGCAATCGTTATCAGAATTAAGGGATCAAAGTATTAATGAAATCTGAACAAAAATTGTTTTGTCTTTTTATGTCATCTTTATGTTTGCATGTGAAAATTTTTGAATGTGGAGCAAAAGAATTTATTATGTTGTAAAATGGTGGTGCAATCAGTAATTAGAGGACAAGTTAATTGATCCGAAAGGAAATTACATTTCTCTGTCAAATATTAAGATAAATGGTTCCAATTTGGAAGACAAAACAGACAGATTAGCAGAAAAGACAATGAAAATGAATTGTTAGCGGAAAAAAGTTGAAGCAGGCCGTCGCTGGTAAAATAAAGAAGGTCGACAGCGGGTTTTAGAAAGACATAAATCTTATTAATATTGTGGAGAAATTTCATGCAGGATTAGACATGCAATGATGTTAAGTAAGAACAAAAGAAATATGAATGTTAATATTGGGTAATTCACACAAAGGGTGGCAACTTGGAGCCAAATTCATCACCAATATCACTGACACCATTTGTGATAATTGACACAACCTTCATTACAATTGTTCCATGATGCAACCGATAAGTGACTTTCATAATTTGTCACACAAAAAGTTTCACTTGGCTTCCAGTCTGGACAATAACTCTACTGTTCGGGTGTCAATAGATGACATTTATTACCCACGACAAGACTTGAAAAGCCAGTTTCTATTTGAACAAAGATTAACAAGCAACCAGTCGACAATACCTCATCAATAGAAACAGAAAGATAGTTCAACTTATTAATGCCAGAAAACAATGCTAGATGAGTCAGAATTTACAATACTTCTGACTAACAAAATTTTACAAGTCTGCAATTTTCAATAGAGGGTCCTGTATTAAGGTTTTCACCAGACCCATATGTGAAAATGACAGATTCTAGTTTACATCCAGTAGAATCATCAACCATGTGACTCAGTAACTGACACCCGCTACTTCAATACTGCTTTAATAACTCTATAGTTGAAAATTAATGATGGAAACACGTGTAGAAAAACTTAACCACAACACATCGCCTCACCTAATGTAATCAGAAACGCAGCCAAAATCACCCACTCACAAAAATGTCATTAATAAATTGAATAATGAGAAAAACTTATTGAAAAAGTGACCTTCAAATAATAAAACACAGAGCTAATTTGATAGTAATTTGGAGAAAAGAGTGTTTATGACGGATATTATGGATGTGATGATGATTAAACATCAATCATGTGTGTCAAAAACAAGTTTTCAACAATCTAATCTGAATCTGGCTCCTTAAAGCACAAAATAACCACTTAACCAAATAATCAAAAAAACCAAAAAAAACTCCAGACAAATAACCATAACATAAGCAAAGTAAAGTAAATCTTGACAAAACATATTGAAATTATAAACTCTGATGATGGTAATTGGTAAATATAGAAATCACTGATATTCATTTACTTATATATCTTTTACTTATCAAAATATCAGTCTTTTGTGTTATAAGAAATAATCAATGATCATTAATTAGTGCATGTTGTTAATTGGAAAAAGATTCTGATGTTTTAAGTAATTAATAAAGCGTGAGATTTCTTCTATAAGGATCAATTCTACTAATTTCACTTCAAACAAAATAAGTATATTTAAAGTGTGGAAAATTGTTACTAAAAAATAAAAGTCATTCCCAAAAAAAGATGTAAAATACAGTGCTGAAAGGAGTTTTTTTTCTATTCTTACCGTGGCCATAAGGTGTATCACATTCTTTCTTTTCATTACCATTTTGTCTGTTTCTGAAACAACATATAAAACTCATTTTTGCATTTCTGGAAATAGCAAAAGATAATTTGCTTTCTTTATAATAATAATCTAAGAAACTTATTTATTGAAGCATAGTTATATTTATCAACTTGTTCTTTCCCGCTGTGAAATTTTCTTCAGGTTTAACATTAGCCAGTAATGTATTTCTATTGCTTAATGATAATCGTAAGTTATTGAATTTCATATGATTGATCATTCAATCTTCAATTGATTGCAGGTCGAACATTAATGCTACCATCATGTATGTGTAGGCCTTGATTTAAAATATTATGGTATGTGAATTTGATGAATAGAAATCAATGGAAGAAACTAACAACGTGGTAATATTTGTCTCTATTGTCTTCGAGATGCCTTATTATTCACGTCACACAACAAATAAACAAGTTGTTTTAATGAATGTGTCAAGACAGCTATAAAAATCCCAACCACGACACCATCGAGAATCAATTTCTGCTAGGGCTATTGGCCCAGACGTGAAACTAATGACACTGCTTACCTTCTCAGTAGAATAATAATCATGATGGTTGCTATGGCCATACAGAGAATGACAGCAACAATAGAACCAGCAATGATTCCAATTGGTGGATCCTTCAATTCAGTGTCCACTACAGAGAAAAAGAGGAAACAAAAAAATCTAATTAAATCTAATTAAATTTGCCATCGATTTAGATTAATAATTTTGGTCCAAAGCAAAAGGTTATTGGAGTTTAAGCATGTATATAAAATGATATATTGTTTATTGCTTGTCATATGTGTAAGATATATTGAGAAGATGTCATAATAAATTACAACCACAGTTGCTGAATAATCAATATGAGCTTATTAGTCGTAGCCTCATGTGATATCGTTTCTAAGCTGTAAGTGATATAGATATTGAATTCAGAGATATAAGTATCCAGACAGGTTATTATATTGTACTACATTTGTAATGATAGGTTGCCAGGCAACTAAACATACGCACACAGCAGCTAAATCGTCCGGGCAATCAACAAGAGTTGTCGCATATTTTTACTTTTTTCGGTAAAGAAACATTTATAATAAACTAAAGTCTGATTAAGCGTAACAACTCATTAAGTAATTATCAGAAAATCATTAGAATTTGTTTGGTTTTTATAAAGTTCTGCCCCATGCTAACATTTAGTATATTAAACATTTAGTTGGTCAAATTATCAAAATTCATTGAAAATCAATATACTTGTTCATCTCAAGACCTTAAACTATGTGTATCAATCTGAAGTCAATCAGATGATAACTTTGGCCTCTAGAGCATCCACAAATTTTTTTGAAGTGATCAAGGGCCATAACTCTGGCAGTAATTATCAGAAATCTCTGAAAATCAATAGACATCTTCGTCCCAGGACCCTTAACACTGTGTATAAACTTTAGCCTCTAGAGCGTCCACAAGATTTTTTGAAGTGATCAAGGGCCATAACTCTGGTAGTAATTAAAGGAAATCACTGAAGTCAATCAGATTAAAACTTTGGCCTCTAGTGCATCCACAAGATAACTCTGGTAGTAATTAACGGAAATTGCTGAAAATCAATAGGCTTCTTTGTCTCATGACCTTAAACACTGTGTATAAATTTAAAGTCAATCAGATATTAACTTTAGCTTTGCTTGTGGACGCCGGTCCGACGGACAGATGGACGCGGGCGACGACAATATACGACCACATTTTAATGTAGGCGTATAAAAGGGAGAGAAAAAACCCTTACCATACTCTCCGCCACTACCAGTTGATACAGATAATGGTTCACTATAGATCCCCCATCCTTGGTCTGTAAGACCTCGTACCTGTAATTGAATACAACATAAACTAGAACATTCAGCCAAAAGTCTAACTAAATCAAATATTAATAATGGAGATGGCATTCAAAAGTTTATGAAAAACGACCAGAACTCTGGAATCAAAAGGCTATATCTATCTCTCATTAATAACATAGATTCAATGGACACATTATGTTACAGCAATTTGGTTCAAAATGTGATTATGGTCAATTATGATGCAGACTGCTTAAAAAAGGTTTGAATACAACTGGGAACATGAATAATGCATGGAATTATTTTATAATGCAGCCCATTTATAGCCCACTTCTCTATAACAGTAGTTGGCAAAAAATGGTGCATGTTTTCAATCATTTATTTGAGCTAATTTCTCTTTTTGATTAGAACGTCTTCAGAGCCTAATTCCTCTGCTATTTACTTTTGCAATCTAATCTCCATAAAATTGTCATTACGTCCTCATATTATGGAGTTGGCAAATGAAGGCCATACAAAAGCCGAGAGTGGGATATTAATTTCACCAGAATGATTTGATTTCTAAATACTGCATTGAGCACAGTGAATATTATCTCTGACAACACTCTCAAGATACTTTTATAGACACCATTTCAATACTGTATGTTTTCAGGGCAGTCAAACAGAAAATTTACAGTGGTCAATTCCTAAAGGGAGATTAGCCGGACGTAACGGAAGGAAAACATTCATCATCCACAGACGGGAACCTTTTGCAATCAAATACAATTCATACAGCTCTCTTGCTTCAATAAGCCCAGCCACTTTCTTTCTAAATGTACGAATTTTGCAATTCAAATTACGAGTAAATGCTTTGGGTGGTATTGGAAGTTGAATATGGGAAGTGTATGTATTGTTAACGTAAACAATGTATTTGGTTGAATGTATTGTAACACAGTGATAAATGAGGTGGAGAATGATTCACAACTCTAATTTACTATTGGTTCGTGTTGATTTGATTGGTGATCAGCTATTGCAGACCAGATCTGTAGAAATCGTCAACCTATTCACTATTTACTCTAGCTACCTCTCTATACTGACTACATGTTAAACGAGAAAAAGATTTTATCCAAAACTCATCATTAAGCAAAAACCAGGCGTGCTGATTCATTCAATGGGGTCTGAGTTGGCTTACATTGTCAGTTCCCCTTACGCTAATGAGAAAACTATCAGTCTTTTTTTAAACCTTATTGGCTAGACCTGTATTCTCTAACATCTCTTTCAACTTTTTCTTTGTGCTCATAAACAATTGTCAATATCCTATTTTAGAGTAAAAGAACTGAGAAGTTTTTTTTATTTCTGTTTTATTTTGAGAATATGAACACATCTGTTGATCAGAAGTGTAGGGAATAAACATAATGGCGGTTTACATAAATTATACTGCCACTTCGGCTGTTGACCAAGACTTTGACTCCTGCTGCATTTTCTTGTTTCAATAAACCTGCCATTTAGGTTAATATATAGCAGGAAATATGCTAACTTTATGAAAAGATATTCACATCTGCTGCTAAGTGGATAAAAAAAAGCAGAGGATACTTTTCACTGAAATGACATGCATTAGTTCTAACTGCCATAAATTATAGTAAAATATTCTTAGCTTCTATATGTATTTGTATATCTATTCAATGAGTTCAGAGTCTGCCTCTCATCAGGACATAAATTTACACAAATAACAGGTATCACGTTTACTTGCAGATTAACTTAAAACGCATCCATGAAAAAAGGCAAAGATTTTCTGTGCAAAACTTCCAATTATTGGTATAAATGTGATTTGGTTTTCAACAAACATTCAATAAATACAGCCTTACCCGAACTGAAGCAATTTAACCGACTGACATTGCATACAACTTTATACAAGATCAATTACTAGATCCATCAGTATTCCTGGAAATGTGTTCTTCTCTTTGTTACAGGTTTTTTTTTCTGTCTTGACAAAACATGCAACTACACGCACGACTCAGTATCAGCGAATATGCAATCTACATCTTCAAATTGTTAATACTTTGTTATAAATGATCAAAAACGAAAAAAAAAAAAGTAACATGAACTTTCATCGCAGAGCTGGTTGCCTGAACGTTTTTTGATTTTCAATCAGCAGAAACATGTGCCTGGAGCAATGCTGATCTAAATGGAACAAAACTCAAAGAGATCTAAGGTCAAGGTTGAATTGCAGCAACCAACTTGGTTTTTTTGTTTGGTTTTTTTTTTTAAATTTCATTCATTACTAATCTTCTAAATATTTCTACCAAATTTCTTCAAAAATTTTGGCTAATAACTTGCTCCCAAATTTTTGAGTCATCCCATTTACAGCACACAACAGAATTGCTGTCTCTGGTTAGCATCAAGCGAGCAGTTATGAGCTTTGTATTATGATCCGATTTCATCATGCATCATAAATCTACAACTTAGCTCAGAGCACAGCGATCAATTGTGACATTAAAATTCTCTTTCACGGAAAATGTAAAATGCATGCATGCTTTATAATGCATCTTTATATTGGATATGAAAAGAATAAATTGACAGAGGCAAAAAAGCGACATTAGAGTATTGACAGCTGGTGATTAGCAGGCTTTTTTCACCACCTATTCACATATTGATAATTATACATCTCTTCTTCCTTTAAGGCAAACAGTCGTATCTGAAATGCCAATATTTCTAATTCAATAATCTCTCTCTAATAGGATACAACTAATTAGATTGTGTCTTGCTGCATTACTAGTACCTCCTTGCAGAGAAAAAAACGCAAAGTCAACATTGGATAAAATTACTATTCTGATTATTCAATGTTAAGTGAAATTTATTTTTATCCTGATCGAATCACATTTTATTTCTGCTCTATTTTACACCATCGTAGTTCTTTTTATCTCTTTTCCTTCCTTCAAACCTGACATGAATTTCCATAATCATATTTATTGCAAAGTAAAGTACAATTTTTCTCTAATACAACACACTAGCAAAATTAATTTGCAGGCAATTAAAGCAAGGACTTAAAATCCTTGACAGTTTTTGTTGGTTCCGCAATCTTACAGGGATTATTCCGAAGTGCAAAAAGCAATTATAATCCACAATGGAGAAAATCTTCAATAATGCCCTACCAGTAGTTGTTACTTCTTTCAAATCTTCTTTAATATAGGAGTATTTCTAGTATTTTTTAGTAATAAGTGATTTTTAATTATCTTTTTTGATTTTCCTAATCTTAAATCCTTTATCAAAAGGATATTTTTAATGTGAAGGCCATGATACCAAAGACAACATTCCATCTTACTAGTATTCATATGCGAGTGAAATGGTAAAATTGAGTACTTGTTGCAGTAGGAAGATTTATTAAATGGCACAAGATCAACTCAAATCATAGCCCGCAAAATAATAATACAGCGTGATACAAGGTAATCCCATATAAATTTGATAACAAATTGGATATTAGAGCCAAAGATCTTGCTACAGAATGTATAAGCCTAGTGCATTAAGATTTATCTAAGCAAGCTGGTGTATCTATAAGCATCGCTTACTGTTTCTCTAAACAGGATCCATGGTCAAATCAATCATATTAATATGATTTAGTATTGATCTCTTTCGACTTGAACCATCTTCCTATCACAACACTTTAATCAGATGCCGACCACATCTCTCCAGGGAAAGGGATTGATAAAACTCAATTATTAAATGAAAAGTATTACATGTAAAGTTTTCTGTAATGATAAATGGTGCATTGTGTATTGTAAAAGATTATGATGTCTATATACAACATTATTTAGACATCATTTCTCATACAAATTCTTGCTATTTGGAACCCAGATATCGAGACTAGTTCTGGACTAATATTACAAAACCTGATAACAGTACTGACAAATTCTGTCTGTAGGCTGAGAGGAGGAGTGGTTAAGGAGTGATGAGGGAGGTTTGCTGGTTGCATTTACAGAGAGATATTCATTAAATTTTAGTGTGGCATCCGATTCCAGATCTCCTGCATCCACCATTAGAATGCCTATTTATATGTCTTTCCACTTGCTTCTGAGGCCTTTGATTGTGACTGAATCAACTTTTTATTTAATCAAAAAAAAGTTGATTCAGTATACTTTGTTTACATACTTTCAGGCAGTTACTGTTTATCTAATTATAAGATATGATATCTACAGGACTAGAACAGTAATGACCAGGAAGAAGAAGATGTCATTTTAGATATCATCTGACAAGTTGTGAGCTAGAGATATTTGTTGGCCAACAGGGACATCACCGTTCATCAGTCAAACCCCAACTAATTCACAAGACGGCTTGGAGCTTTGGCAAATATTGAACACAGTGCCACCAAATCTGACAGCTTGAAATATTACTAACAAACCAAATTAATCATCTCTCCTACATTTATTTGAACATTTCAAAATTTCAGTGAAGACTCTTAATATTTCTATTATTATTTTTGAAGCAGGGAATTAAATTCTCTGATATGTATGAAGTAGATTGAAGTGATTATTTACAGCAATGAAGTAGATCACTCACATCTATCTTTTTCACCAATTCAAGATATATGCAAATATTAGGTTCATCTTTATATTTCTACAAAAAAGTCTAAGAGTTTAACAAAGATGTAACTAATGTCTTTACAGTAGTGAAAAGTGCATGACCTTTAGGTAAAATAATTGATAGAAAGTCAAACATAGGTGGAATTTCTCTTCAATGTAATCTCCATCAACATTAGCTTTACCCAAAGGGAAAGAAAATCCAAGATGTTTGTAATATGCTAGAATTGCCTACTAGAGGTGTCAAATGTCAAATATTATATAATATTCACCAATCCCCTCAAGGTTAGTTATCTACTCTATGGCCTAATCATAATGATCTCAAGGAGTATTTATTGCAAACATTCCTAGCTCATTCATCACTGTCAGAATACATAGTGACCAATTGACCACTGTTCATTCACTCAATCCTTGAAAGGTGGTAAAAACCCTACTGAGAACAAATTACATTTCCAACCGAGCAAGCTTTGGTCACTTAAAGGTCAATACTGACAAAAAAATCCCTTCATTCAAATTAAATAATGATTTCTTATCATCTTGTGTTGATGCCGTCTGTCACTTTGAGATGTTATGTTTGCTGTTGGTTAGCATGGAGCCTTTTTTTATGATGGGATAATGTACAAGATGTATTGAAAGAATTTGAGAATGTTTGCATAAAAGAAAGAAATTTTGTATAAAAATAGTAAATCAAGTTTTCTCTCTCAACTGTTGAACACACAAGGTTATGAAAATTGAATCCTCCATGACTGGGGATTAAAAAAGTTCATCAGATAAGTTAAATAATGAAGACATTTGGATCTAAGTTAGTAACAGGCTGCTACAGATAGGCATCGTGCCATGAAAGATTTCAAAATTCACAGAATACAGCTGGTCTTGATGAAATACGGGCACCAATTAGTAATCTTAAATTGGTAAGCAACAGTATTGGTTTAAATTGGAGTTATGTCTTGAATGACAGACACCAACCACACTGTTTCTCCCATCCATCATAAATGCTGGAAGTTTTTGGGATATGTGGGCTCCTTGAGGCTAGGATAAGAATGTGCAGTAAGATACAGATATATCACTGTCATCATTTACCATTTCGGTACTTATTCATCTTAGGTGGAAGATTAACTTGTTTCTATGACAAATCATCTATCCTCACCAATTTTGAGAAAATATGATTAGTAATTAAACAGCAACACAGTATATCCTGACAAAGTATGACGAATGAGTATGTCATTAATTGAACACTATCAATTCTATCAAGGGTAAAAATATTATAATTTTTTTTATTGTTCACAAATAAATAAAACGCATTGTTTACTTTACTTTGTCACTGAAATAGTTGGAACCATTTTTTCCCGATAATCGTTCTTAAAGTCGGTGTCAATCAATAATGGTAGGTGTTTTTAAATCTTACTCATTGTAATTGTTTGTATATCAATCACTTCCAGGCAGGCCATTAAATTACAGTTTCTATTGATGTTGAGCGTCACCACCCTATCTAAAGGATCAATGTTGCCATGAAGTCCTTTTTATTTTTCATTTAATAAAGTCGTAAATATTGACAAGGCCTTGCATAAATTTAAACAAAGTTTTGTAAAAACACTTGATCAGTGAAGTAATGAGTCAACCAGAAAGGTAGTCATCTAATTTTATCGACATTTTTGTGCTTTATGGTGGATTTTTCTTTATATTAAATCCGCACCTAAAAACTGTTGAAATGTTCATTGATCCATAAATACATTTTTACAGTTTAGGTTCAATAAATGTCATAAGTGCTCAATAAGCAAGGTGTTACGCTTCTTTCTATTGGCAGCAAAAGGTCAATAATTTCTCACATCAAGCTAGAAAACACAAACTCTATCTAATAAATATGCTAAACACATGAAGAACACACAATTTTCAAACAAATGTAGAAAATATTATTTATGACTAACTTCATAACATCTAATATTTGAACTTTTCGATAAAAAAATTATGAAATCATTTTGTTCTTACAAAAGCAAACATTCATTTTGGACAATAAAATAAATTCTCACCTGGAATAAGTATTCTGTATCAAGTAAGAAATCGGTTAATGTAAAATTTGGTGATGTTGTTGGTATAACTTTGGTTTTACTTGTGTCATCACGTGGATAATACTTGACTTGAAATAACTTGATACTGCCAACACTAGCTGGTGCATCCCATGCTATTGTAATGTATTTCATACTGCGATTTATAATTCGAATGTTGATCATTTTCACTGAAAATGAAAGAAAATATTATCATTATAAATGTCTTTGGAGTCCATAAAAATGCTCAACGATAAAAAGTGACCCAAGTTTAAGACCTATTCAACTTTTTATTTCAGTTTTGTCACTACAGGTTCCAATCAAACGCTAAAACACTGGAGACTTCCCTGACATTTTGACACAAGTGTAAAACTTTATGGCATACAAAGTTCCTTTGAAGAATTCCAAAGTCTATGAAGTTTTGATTAATCAATCGGAAAGTGAATTGTATTTGGGGTTTTTAGTTAATTCAATTTAGTGGCTGTTAGCAGAAAAACTAACAGAATCGGTCGCCTCAGGACACGATTGTCCTTTAAAGCATGGAAGATAAGACAGACTGGATGACCTGGGATCGCCATCAACTATTTCAGCCCACATTCACTTCTGCTGATCAAAGAGCAGCCTGGCGAAAAATTGGATTTCACAGCATAAGAAAGTTAATCTGTGTTCTGTGTTATAGCGAGATAATCTACATCCTTTCACTAACCTCCTTCATACGACAACAATTAATATTGATTTCACCAATGTTTGTAAAATGAAGATAAAAGACCAATATGGCGGTAGGAATAAATACAACCACTTCCCTTAATCCAAATTAGATGAAAAAAAAATCAAATTTGGTAGCCAGTACAAGGCTACAGCTAGCTGCTGTAGGCAATTTATCTATTGATAGTTTCTTATAATCTAATCTACATAAATAATCATTCCTGTATAAACAGAATTTAAATATTTATCCTCCATATATTTCTTATATATAATATTTGAACAATGTTAATATTTTAATGCTAATTTGCAATATGTGCACAAAAAATAAATCAATGCTCAGAAATATGTTTTCAAAAAGATTTAGAAATTCCTGTTTTACACTTCTATAAAATAAAGAATTTTAATGTGTTTTACATCAGTAACAGAATGCACTTATTGTGAAAGAAAGACATTTAAGAATTTGCTGTATATTTATTTCCCTCATTCTCTTTTACATAAGTTATTTCTTATCTTTGATTCATTATTTCTGCCAAAACTAATTCAACTTGTAGAAAGAGAAACACCGTCTGGTGTTATAAACAAACTTGGATCTGTTCATATTTTCACACTACATAGAAATACCTCACAACACATGAAAATTGATCATGCACCCTCGTCAGACAAAAGCCGTGATTTAAACAGTACAGGGCAAGCCATGCAAATACAAATTATAAATGAGCCAGACTCAACAACACTTTTCTGAAGACATTCAAATGCATTAGGCACTTTACATGCAGGACTTTCTTTCTACCTTAAGTGCCATATTTGTCATTTATTTGAAATGGAAGACAATCTAACTTTTGGACAGAAAACAAAATTGCAATTTCAACAAAATTTCTATCTCTATAATCTACAATACTGATTCAAAGAATACTCATTATGCAAGCATATAAAATTAGAACCAGTCTTCCACTATTTCATGCAAATTGAAATACAGATTATCAGTTTCACGATATAATATCAGGAATCTGCTAAAAATGGGAATTTATCAAAAAATAACAGATGTAACCATGCAGCACTGACATGCATATTGCTGTAAACTACAGCATGTTAACCTTTCAAAATGAATCACATGCAGAAATCTTTGATGGGTCAGCCTATCAATACTAAAATATCTGCTTCATAACAAATGCTAAAACATTACAAAATTTCATTCCTGTTCTTACCAGGATTATATCTGTTATCAAACATATTTAGATTACTCGAATCCTCACCTGAAATTGAGGCGTCTTATTGAATTGATTTGATATTTTAAACATGGGAGATGTGATGATCATAAAAATAATCTATTTCTTGTTATCAATTTAAAACTAAAGATGTATGTTATTAAATTTAACTTACCATTTGAAAACGGTGTATCTGGATTACTACTTCCTCCACCTTCAATGTAAAATAAACATACATGTATTTCATATAGCTTACATAAACTATTCCCTCGTTGTACAATATCATCATTCTATATCTGTATGTTACATTAGAAAGTAAATGATAATGATGACAGCTACTGGGATCAACTTTTAGAAAATTTCTATGTGCTCCTGTTCAAACTTTACCCTGTGTGACCTCCTGAAGCTTCAAAATGATGATGTTTTTGGCATATTGGGGCAGATTTGTTTATTGTGGGCATGGAAAAGAACTGTTAGTCAGTGTTTCTACTTGTTCACATGGACAACTGCTAATTCTGGTTCCAGAGGACCTGTATCTTTAATTCAATGTGCTCATTGAAGGGGGACATCTAGACAAATTTTAAAAGTTAATCTTAATAACTGTAATTATTATCTTTACATTGTTACAAAATGGTGAACCATCTCTTTTAAACACCCATTTCTAATTATACATAACTGATCCTATGTATGTGTAAACAATTGTTGGTATTTTTAGAAAATTAGTTTAAAATACATAGAATAAGGCTATACCACAGATATTGAATTCTTTATTATTTTACTTCAAAAGAATTAATGCTTTAAGTGGATCTATTCTTTCAGTTTGATTTTTAATGATTAGAATATCTGAAATTAGGGTAATAAATGAAATATGTCAGTGTTATGGTTCTATATCTTCAGCTCCTAGACAGACAAGATTGACTGATGAAGGTGAAGGGTTGGAAAGAGAAAGTTATACGTCTTGTCAAAACTACTCAATACTAATTACTCAATGCCATCAAAATATGATTGAAAGTAGTTCAATGTCATTAAATCTGTTATATTGAAATTATAAACTTCAGTAATTGGGTTCAGATTGGAAACATTGGGGTCTGTTTAGAAGCTAAATTACTTTTATTACTTTTTGACTTATTCTTTGGAAACTCAGCATATCTGATGCTGTTCACCTGTTGTCTGGGGGATGGTGTACAAGTATTTTTATTCGGCTTTTAATGGTTAATAGAAAAGTAATCTAAATATTTATAAGTAAACCTGTTGTATACATCTGTTTAGTTTGGCCTTGCCTTCAAATCTCGGTCTTAAACATCCCTTGTAAAGAGCTGACCTTTTTCTATAGAAAACAGTTTGGGTGGAAAATAAATACAGCGGCCACTAAATGAGCTTTATTAAGTTTTTCCTGAGAAAATTAGTTGTCATCAATATTTATATTATGAACAAACTTTACACAAAATCATCTTTTGATTATCCTTGACCAACATAAGCATTTTATCAGAAATACATTTTTAATATTTAAACAGAATATTATATGGTACAATGATTTTAAGTCCTATTTGCAAACCAGTCGAACATTTTGACGCTTGTGAAAATATTATCTCTAATATTCTATATACTGGTTTGCGTGCCTTATTGTCAGTTCCATCTATTTGTCAACTAGGTCATAAACAGCCCGATTCATTTTTCTTTGCTATAATTGTTATGTCATATTTTTATTGATAAAATGTCTACAGTACATTAAGGGTGTTATGAGGTGGTTTTATTGAACATTAGTTATAGACCTACCATTAGCATCAGTAGTAATAGTGATGTCTGCGGAAGATATATGGCCACTGATTTCACTAACACCATTCTGAGCATTTATAACAATTCGATACTGATTCTGTGGCGCCAGACCGGTCAAAGTTACTCTGTGTGAAAAAGAAATAGAAATAAATTTAAATTACAAAACAAACGTCAAGACAAAATTCCATGTGCCTGGTTTTCTTGTAAAGATTTGTATTTTAAAACTGTCACCATGTCATTTTGGGACTAACATATATATATAGCATATTTCTATTTCAGTACCCATAGAAAACCCACATGGTTAGGTAGGCAACTTGTATAGATTTCAGGTTCTATGACATACAGCGCCTGTTTTATTATCATATCAAGTTAGTTAAAGACCAATGATTGAAACAATTACATCGCTGACAAGAATATATATTGTAGTTCCTATTGTTTAGTTATTTCAATTTGGTCATTAAATGGAGACCATACCTTGTTGTATTAAATCCACGCCATCCTGGATGGAATTTCACCTGACTGTTGCATTGCCGACACACTACTTCATATTGGAGATCTTCTCTTCCCCCAAGTTTTGATGGTGGCTGCCACAAAAGAGTTGCAGATGTAGCAGTCATGACCTCTAAAAGCAGGGATCTGGGGGCAGTGGGTGGTTCTGGAAATAAAAATTCAAATACAGAAATAGATAATGTTTTCACTTCTGATTTTGATCACTCTCTGGTTTGGATCTGTTGAGAGCTTGGGTTACATGAAATAGTCTGACAAATATTCCTCTACCATTTGATTGAAATCATTAAAAAAATATGACATCAAGGAAGAAAGATATGTGAAAATTGGCAAATTATCTTCAATCCAATAGAAAAGAACCATAAAAAATCTATGCTCTAATAATATCTTTCTTAATGTTCAGTTTTTATTCTTATCACATCTCTTGCACAAAATGTAGAGATTACTGTGTAGACAGACCAGCATGTGTTAGGATGATTCAATTAATTTTCATGTGTTTTTAATGGCTGTAAGGTACTTTATTCTGCCTAATCTAATGTGTTAGGGTGCTAAACTTCCTTAATAAGGTAGACGAAAAAGGTAACTTGGGTGGTAATTGCTATGTAAGTTCGACTGAAGAATTAGGAAGCTAGTCGACTCCCTTGAGTTTATCGTGGACAGTTAAACTGTCGATAGGGACTACTTGTACACAAGATTTATAGGAATTTTATGCCACAATTTCTACTGACGCCAAACTCCAATTAGCAATGGTTATACATCTTTAAGCTGATAAGAAATGGTGAATGAGTTTCTCAAGAGATCCTGCGATCTATTGGCAACTAAACATCATCAATTCTATATGAAGTGTTCCGCAATTGACAGTTACCGGCAAAAATCTGGCTTAGATTTAATTCCAGATCTTTGACTCCATCAAGAATATGTTCCCTGCCAACTCGTAACCATATGATTTTCAGTTAAAGTATATTGGTGGTAAACAAAAGGTTAAATTCTCTACAGCCATCAAGCGAGACCTATTTCCAATGATGATGTAAATATCGCTTTTCTAATTTCACCACCTCATCAATGTTCGCTTTAATGGTCGATGCCCACTTTTAAAGCAGAAGATTGTGTAATAAAGTGATCACATTAAGTGAGATAAATATTTAGAGAGTTTTATTTGATATAGTATAATCGTCAAATAAACTTACGGGTGCAAGCCATAGATTTCTCATCTTGAGGACTTCTAAAATACCCATGTTCACATGTACATTCTACTGCCCCTAGCAGTGCATAGCTATGTTGTGGACATGGTTTACAGGCACCTTTTCCTTGTGACCATTTGTAATGTCCAACAGCACAGGCTGAAATGTAGAAAAAAAATAATGTGTTAATCATTCAATATTCAAAAAAAATAAATGCACAAAAAAACTTGGAAAAAAAATAGTTATACTTGATCTGGAATACAATTTTGACACTTTATTTTCAAATATGCACAGTCACGACAAGGAAACATTTAACAATGTAGCTGCTCAAATATTGTATGTCTATAAAGTTCAAGTAGCAGGCAAAAATTGTAATTGCCACATAGCAGCTGAATAGTGAAATATTTTCGACTATTTTTATATATATATATGTATTAGATAAGATTGGTATAGTTTTGTTTAAAGAGACAAGGGAGGGAATACTATAAAACATATCTTGACCATTTCAATCACTAGATAAGATTGTCTTATATCATTTCAAATTCTAAAACAACATCTGATCTTATTTTTTTATGTCAATGAATTGAAGGAAATGTTTGACCAGGAGTAAAATTTTCTTAAACTTGGTCTAAGCATACACAGAGTCTGAACAAGCTGTTCAAACAGTAAACGAATAAACAAGTGTGGACAACAAAAGAAGCATGGCTTTGGACAAAAAGCCAGTGTCATTTGTTGATTTTTGCAGCCCTTGTCAGAAGTGTATTTGCAGGTTCCTGCAGCAGAGCTTGATCGTCATGCAACGTTTACGTGTTTACCCGTCTTTAACTACTAGAGAAACAACCTTGCCAAAACAAAGGCAACCTAACACTCTCATCTATTGTCTTAAGACAAGAAAATAAACAATAGAATTATATGACCAAACAATCTGTTCCTAGTCCTGCTTTCTCAAACAAACAATGTCCCCAGAAGTTTTTCCTTAAACCCACGAAAATGGCACAGTAAACACTGGCCTGACACATTAATAGTACCCAACAACCAATTTTACCAGGCAACTCCCCATAATAACAGGTCTAAATTCAAAAATTGAATACTATGTTTTTAATATAAATCAAGTTAGATAAATTCTGGACATAAAGATATACTGAATATGAATTGTCATACCAATACAAAGAAAGTGCAACCAAGTCCTGAATGTCGTATACTCTATTTGACAAATTTAGATCAGCTAAACTAAATATTAGAACTTTTAAGTCCCAAGATCACTAAGCTCTCTAATCTTAAGGTAACAAAAATGGCTTTTTGTGCATTGATCATGTGGAGCCGTATCAAAGAGTGGAAAATGTTCACAAATACTTGAGGAGAAATATTGGAAACAAAACAAAAGCTGAAGACAAGCGAGTGTTTTGTCTGAACAAGGGTTTGTATTGTTTCTCTCAATGACCATTGCTAAGCTACAGTTTGTTTATTATATGTTCCTCTTACAACACAAGCTTTCTATCATGCAAAACCAGTGTTGAATGACAATTCATCATTTCTAATTGCAATTTAAGGAATTAAGGAAAGTTTTTTAAAACAGATGACATGGATTAAGATATAAATTAGTGTGTGAATCAGTCACCATATTGTTCTGTTTGGGAAGATATTGAAGTTTTCTATGAACCTGGTAGCCCCTGTTATAAAAGATAAATTACCCCCTTCAAGATAGTATTTTGCAAGTAATAGGAGGATAAGTACTCTGTGTTAAAATGTTGACTACATTACTCTTAACTCAGACCTTTTCAACCAAACTCGGATCCTCTGATAATACACCTAACCATAATGAGACCACGCCTTACTGGGGTTACGTAGATCAAGAGGCTTCTACATACAATTGCCTTTGCAACGCTTCAGTCATATTCAATGTAATATATAAATCTAATAGCCCAACATAAATGAAAGAAATATCACTAATTGATAGAAAGAGTTTCTCACTAAAATCTCATTCAATTTAATGGCAGGTGGGGGAAATGCGTAAGCTTATTTATACGAATAAGTCAATTAAGACAACAACTGGTCATTCAGTAAGACGATTGCTGGGTAAAAAATATTAGCTAAATGATACTTTGTTAATGCATTAAGAAATGTGAGAAAATCATCACAGAGCAATAAACAGCAAAACCTTACAGGAGAAGACAACCGGTGTAATAAAACTTAAGACAGACCTCTACCATGATGAGACTTAGTCATTGTTGAGTTGATTGTTATTACCACACAACACGCAACTAATGTTATAGCAATCTCTTTACATCCTCTAACTTATTCATATTTCTACAAACTTAAAGAAATATTATCACCTCCCTGACAATAATATATTCCATTGTTAACATAATTATTTCCATAATTATTTTGACAAACCAATAATACAATTTTATGATCATCTAATTTAATAGTTACAGCTTTCACCTTGAAATGGTCTGGGAAGCCATTAATGATAATAAGTAAAGATAGGTTGCCAGGCAAAAAAACATACGCCCACAGCAGCTAAATTGTCCGAGCAGTCGACAAGGGTTGTCACATATCTATTCTTTTGTAGGTAATTAGGGGGATTTAATAGACAATTTCATACAGATGACATTATAATTTTTTGTCGTTTGAGGGTTCACAAGGTTCTAAAAACTAAAACAAGGGCCATAACTCTGGAAGTAATCTACTGAAATTGTTGAAATTCAACAGGCTTTTTCGTTTTACTAATTCAAATAATTCATATAAATTTCATACATATCGGATGATAACTTTTGTCGTTCGAACGTTCACAAGGAACAACAAAGTGAAACAAGGGCCGGAAATTGCTGAAATTCAATAGGCTTCTTCGTTTCACTAATTTAAATGATGCATATCAACTTCAAACAGATTGGATGAAAACTGTTGTCATTAGAGCGTTCACAAGATTCAAAAAAGTGAAACAAGGGCCACAACTCTAGATGTAATTAACGGAAATTGCTGGCATTCAATAGGCTTCTTTGTTTTACTAATTTGAATGATGCATATAAATTTCATACAGATCAGATAATAACTTTCGTCGTTAGAGCGTTCACAAGGTACAACAAAGTGAAACAAGGGCCATAACTCACGACGTAATAAACGGAAATTGCTGAAAATCAATAGGCTTCTTCGATTCCCTAATTTAAATGATGCATATCAATTTCAAACAGATTGGATGATAACTGTTGTCATTAGAGCGTTCACAAGATTCAACAAAGTGAAACAAGGGCCACAACTCTAGATGTAAATAACGGAAATTGCGAAATTCAATAGGCTTCTTTGTTTTACTAATTTGAATGATGCATATAAATTTCATACAGATCAGATAATAACTTTCGTTGTTAGAGCGTTCACAAGGTACAACAAAGTGAAACAAGGGCCATAACTCACAGCGTAATTAACGTAAATTGCTGAAAATCAATAGGCTTCTTCGTTTCCCTAATTTAAATGATGCATATAAATTTCAAACAGATTGGATGATAACTGTTGTCATTAGAGCGTTCACAAGATTCAACAAACTGCAACAAGGGCCATAACTCTAGATGTAATAAACGGAAATTGCTGAAATTCAATAGGCTTCTTTGTTTTACTAATTTGAATGATGCATATAAATTTCATACAGATCGGATGAACTTATGTCGTTCGAACGTTCACAAGATTCAACAAAGTGAAACAAGGGCCATAACTCTAGATGTAATTAACGGAAATTGCTGAAATTCAATAGACTTCTTTGTTTTACTAATTTAAATGATGCATATAAATTTCATACAGATCAGTTGATAACTTTTGTTGTTAGGGCATTCACAATGTGCAACAAAGTGAAACAAGGGCCATAACTCCAGAAGAAATTAACGGGAGTTATTGAAATTAAATAGGCTTCTTCATCTCACTAATGCAAACAACATTTATTAATTTCAAAACAATCAGATGATAAATGTAGTCTGTAGAGTGTTCACAAGAAATTGTGGACAATATACGACCACATTTCCATGTGGGCGTATAAAAACCACAGTGGTCCATTTTATAGTCAATAATTACAGAGCACATTAATGTATATAAAAGTAATATTACACTGTATGTAACAATTAAAATCCTTCATCCTTAGGGATGCTTTTATATTCAAATAAAATGTCATTAAGGGTGGTGGACAACAAGCCCGTTTTAGTTTCTCCTGTTTGAACTTGCGTATATACATGTACTTTTGCTTCTTTGATAAAATAGCAAGAAAATCTCCTTGTCGCATAAAAAAAAAACAAATAAAGAAATCTGACAATGCCTTCAAAGTCATGGAACATTAAATTCTATATTTTCTACTTATGGTCATGAATCCTGTTCAGGTGGCACTTTACTGGGTAGTTAGTGAAAATCCCTGCTAGTCATTGCTTAATATAAGTAAATCTAGTAGGATTTGATCCTTTCAGTGATGAGAGAATGGGTATACAGGTGATGCGACCTATGGTAATTTAGTTGCCAAGACTTAGTGGTGTGAAAGGAAGCTATGTGATGACCCCCTACTAACCATCCTTCAACATACTTGACTTGAACTGAAAGGATGTTCTCCCTATGCCATAATTACCTACAAAACATACTATTATATACCAGTCAATGGTCAACCCACTATTCATGGTCATTTTTGTTCGCAAATGGGGAAAAGAGAAAAGACCCTGTAAACAATATTCATCAACAATATCTACTTTCTTATCTAAAAAAATTGGTTGAAAGTCTACATGTACTTTTATGTAATTCTGTGTAAAATGCTCTTAGAACCTTTTATTATCGTCCCTAATAACTATCTGAAGTGAGTAGTACATTTTCAAGAAAGTTTCTTCACCAGCAATCATATAATTCTGAAACTATGCAGTGAAAGCTTCTGGTTAAACATTGTAATTTAAAGGGCCAATCTCGATTATATTTTGTGTTAAAAGCCCTTAAAATCCTCTAGCAACGAACTCAATATACAAAATACGTTTTCATACAACTTAAATCTGTTAGGTGAGATTTACCTTTCATTATCAAGTACAGCACGTGGGTCATGCACTGTATAGACCTCTAAAGGAACGGCAATAGATTATCAGCTCACTCAACGAAAAAATTGACCGGAAATCGTAAAAGGTTTACATGTCCAGATAAGCAGTTTTGATGTTCACGTCCGAAAGACTCAATATTTTGAGCTGAAATTTTGAGACAAGATAAATACACCATTCCTCTATATTTTGGCACTTAAATTTCATACGTACACAGACTTTTATTTCTGAGAATCTGTTAAAATAGGGATGGTCCCTTTAAGTTTTGTTTTGTTTTGCAGTGTGCAATAGTCTTTTGCAGCTTATTGCTGTGTTAAATTATCTCTGGTCAATATTTACAAATGGTATCAAACACTATTGAATAGTCATGTTTATCAGGACGCTCAATGAAAAAATTGGGGCATCTGCCATAGAAATGTTACTTAACCCCAATAAACTGTTTTAATGATCATTTCCAAACGGCTTTATATTTGAAGTGAATATTTAAGAAAGACAGACACAGTAAATAAGCTATTTCTTCACATTTTGGCATTTTATTTGAACACTTTAAAGAATATAAATTAGGCACCTACCTGTACATTTTACGGTATCTTTGTCACCTTCAAAACCAGGCATACATAAACATTGGCCTTTAGGATCCTTGTACCATGTTCCATCACTTCTACAAAGATCTGTTGGAGGTTCCATCTCTATAGCATTAGCTACACATTGTCCTTGACGATCAACTAGAGAGAATTCTGTGTCACCAGTTGGTGTTTCTGGAAAGTCTGCGAAATTCATGGTAATATTTGGACACATAACATGATACACTTTGATTGAGATTAATGTCACACAAGCTCCCTCGTCTTGGAACGCAAAATACACCCCATGTAAATTTGGCCTTAAAGCAATCCTTCTCGTCTCCGTGTTGATCTTGATTTCAGTGGGCGCTTCATATAAATGATCAGCCGCAACTTTATCCACTAACTTGTAAGCAGTTGCGTCCCACGTTGGCATCATTTCGTTTGCAATGTCTGACCCTGCTTCATAATAATATAAATTAAAGGTTTCTTTACATTGTTGCAAACTAGAAGGGTCTGTTATACGAGAACATTTTCTCATAGTGAATCTAATTTCTACGTGTAAACTGTTTGCATCACCACGTTTTATATAGGGGGTTCGTAACCAGTTATTAACATCAGCATTTTTAACGTAACACGAGGTATACACTCTATTGCTTCGACCATTGTGATTGAATGATCCAACCAGCCACTGAAAAATAGAATGCCAAAAAACATTATTATAATGGTATCAATTGATAAAAAATTTTTTAGAAAATATTTGCTGATTATTAATTTACGTAATAGAAACACACAAAGAACATTAGATAAAAATCAAGCTATCTGATTGAATCAGAGAGTGTATTATACATTATGTAATTGTTTTCAAATAAGGCAGTATAAATCATACCTTTTAAAACACACAGAATATGCTTGTATTGTGATAGAGAATGAATTGTTTTCTGTATTAAATCAATGGTTCAATTGTGTGGTTATATATTTTCTGTATTTGTGTTTATAGAATCAATACGGTTAAATTGGGATGTTTATTTTATAATTAAATAATACAATTCATTATGCGTATATATATGAATGTAGTCGAGATGTATTGTGGTGTGCTATTGTAAAGCAATGATAATGAAAGAGATGCATCTTATGATTTAATCAAAGACCAAGAGAGTTTAGAGAACACAGCATGTTAAATATTTCTGCATTGTGATATGGTATCATCACATCAAATCTAATTCTACAGATTAGTGCATTTAATTCACTGCCAAATAGTCGACAAGAGCAACACTAGGAGGAATAGGTAATCCCCAGGAAAAGACAGCCTGTCAAAATGCTATGACATTTCCTTGCAAGACTGTGATTGACTAGACCTTACTGTTATCAAAAATGACATGCCTTCTATTTATCAACGTCAATATTCCCTCACCTCACACTGCTCATGTCAAAAATTGGTAATTTTGACTGCAATAGTTATACATCTTTTTAAAGAGGTTGTCTCAGATTAATTTCGAGGCCAATACTTCAATTCCTATAACATTTTGAATACATGAGTATTTAAAGAAGACATATTAATTTCCATCTCTAGTTTGTTTTCTAAGATCATTTATCATGGTTGAGGATGCTTAAAACCTTTCAATTGACGGATGGATTGCAAAATTGGAATTTTCATGCAAACTTTAATTTGCATATGGAGGCAATCAAATTTCAGAGTTTGACATGAAATTCAATAAAAAATATAACAAAGGTTTATATTCTAATTATTTAGTCAGCTTGATGCATTTAAGTGATTCATACCTTTTTTGGCTGAAATAAAATCCTTACTCCTCACTGAGTGGGTTGAATTATATATTATTCGGTAGTTTGATAAAGTAGTTTTCAATTGTTCAATATTAGAAACTTTTTTTCTCTCTAAATAATCTTAAATTCATGATCAACTGTCATTGTTTTCTTCACTTTCTGATGACAAAATTACCCAGAATTTAAGAAATCTACATGTCACTACAGAAAGACCAATCTGTATGTAAATCTACAGTAATATAATCAATATGAGGACATTTTTTGGGGACATGTTATAAGAAGTCTTTAAAGTAGTTATCTCACTCTTCAAATCTAAAGGATGCTCCAGTAAGGTTCAGTTGAGTTCAGAGAATCATATAATTAAAACGATGAAATCACTGAAAGATTGACCACAAACACAGCTGAAGGGTCGTTTTCTTCTGACAAGAAATTCTCTAATTGAGGAAAATAAGAGGTATCATCCTCTCCTGATAACAAAAGTGGAATAGTGATGACGGGCGGACACAATACCCTCTCCTCTACACCTAGTGTGTATTATTAACAAGGCTAAAAGAATACTTGTCCAGCCAATAATATTGTTAGCAGAACATCATGCTATCATTAAATTTTTCCGATTAGACTGAGCTCTCTATTAGGGAAGTCAGGGAAGGTTTGCTTCATTTCCAAATCTGTGATCACCAGCATGAAATGAAGTTGATCAGAGTGAAAGAAGTGTAAAAATGGAATTAAAGCATTGCAACTCTATCTGTTGTTGCTTTTCTTCTAACAGTGGATTAGGTCGTGGCAGCAACGTTTTATTTCTATTGCCGTCAATCCATACTGGTCATTCCGTATTCATAGAAACTTGTAGCTGGGTATTTAGCTGTATTGTAATTCAATTTATCAGCCATGTTTGCTGCACCTGAACCAAACACGGCCATGTAACCAAATTTACCAAGTGCACTTTGACAGGATTTACAGTGATATCCCGTAAGCCGCAGTCTTTCAAGTGTCAGCTATTCCAATTGTAGGCTTAAGCAACAAATGATACCAAATTTTTGCCAATCGTCAATGCATGAAAGGAACAAATGAGATTCGAGTTAGTCTTGCAGTAAAACAAATGAAGGATTAAAAGAACAACTGTTGGATCCAAGGCAATTTTATGTGATTGAGTCAAGTCAACGAATCGTTAGGACAGGATATTCCCAGATGGTGGCAAAGAGAAGGGTTTTCATTATGAGATGGTATTAAAACATATTGAACAACGATTGGCAAGTGTTGTTTTAAATCAGCTCATAACGTTGACCAGCATGATTGTGAGTCATGGCTATTATATTAGTTAGTTGATAATGATAACTTGTCACATTTTATCAGATCATTGATCCTCAAAAAACGATCCTCTATGGCCCTTCTAATCCCATATATTAGATAATATGGGACAGTTACCACTTCTATTATCATCAAGGTTAATTACCAAAACACATGGCACAATGTCCAATAACTATAGCAAGCCATTCCGATAGTATTGTGGTAGTGACTTAGCCTCAGGAATATTATTGGATATTTAAAATACATGCAGGGAACCAATGGTTCCAGTATTTCTTCTCTGATCTCATGACTTGTCATTGTGAAGAAACATCAAAATATTTTTATAAAATTTACATTACTTGAGGCCTTACAATTTGAATTATCGGAAATTCATTTAGAATGACTAATCAATCACAAGATTGCACAAAAAATCTGCACTGCATCTAAAATTAATAGAAGCTACAGAAATTCCCAATAAACGAATTAAAAGGAAATGCATTAATTTTATACTGTCATTATGGGGCTGTTAATAATTTCTATTTACGGAGAATGATTTATTGCAGATGGTGTCAACCAATATCTACATGTATCTGCATTATCAGTTCTACTAATAAACCATTGACCTCAACATCATTAAATCAGTTTCCTGAATCCCTGTCCAAACATTTTGACCATGATTAAAGCTGAACAAATCTGCCTCCTATTTTTTCTCTCTAATAATGCTATCTTGGGAATGCTTCAAGATGCAACTGGAGACACGGCAAGTATTTAACTCAATTTTTCCACCAAAATGTGATGAAATCAATGTCAGGTTTGTCAATTGAAAAGTATTGACAATTATTTGTCAGAGCATCTCTCTCCTTCCATGTGGACTTTCTGGTTCCTACGTGTCGTATTGATTAGTAAGAAAATCAATTTCTTTTCTAAGATTTGTTCTTGGACGAACAAAATATCTTATACACGATGATGTGTACAAATGGGTGGTACTCATACCAACATGCGATAGTAAACACTCCATTGCCATATTGTAATGAACGAGTTGAAATTTAAAACCAGTCTAAACCTCATCCTTCTCTCCAACAATACCCAACCGCGACAAGGGATGAACATTTCCTATAATAATCTTAATGGTGTGCATTTTACTTCAAATCGTACGCCTACCATTCAGAGCAAACTACTCTTCATTAAACCATCTTGACAAAAATAAATATTGTGTAATCTCGAGTTACATTATCTTCTCGTATGTAGTGTAAATGAAGTGGAATATCAAATCTCGTAAAAAAATATTTTTTCAAAGTGCAATTATTTAATACTAAAGTTGCAGAAGGATAGCTTACCATAAATTACATTAGCTACTACACATAGACACTTGAATGGAGCCCTATTCAAAATGCTGTCATATATCATTTTGAAAACTAGAGCAATTTTCCCCGTCTTCCCGCAGATTATTGGGTTTTTCTCAAGAGATTTGAAAGGAGACAAATTTTCTACCATCTTCTTTCTGAGGTTAGTAATTCAAAATGATTTGTGGTGAATTACGATTATCAATAGGTTTGGACAAGTGCCATTATAATGAATCTGACTGACTGGGGAAAATGCCACCCTATGATCGTTGTCGGAGAAGTCATGCTTTTCCTAGTGTGGTAAGAGAATTTACAAGAAAATATTGCTCTGATCGCATCAAAATGTGGTCATTTGGGCAACAAACGAGATATTGCAGCCATAAAAAGGTCCTTGTATATGAATTTGGATCAAAATAAAAATCGGTGTGTTGCCTTCAAGTCTGCTACTAGTTGTAGTCCAGATCAAACCTGATACAGATTGATAGCCAATAGAAACAGCATCAATAAACAAAATCACATTAAGATTAAGTGAAGAAACGGAGTAAAAAATACAAGAACCTCCAGCAAGTCCATTCCATATTAAAACACTATTAAGAAAGAAGATTAGTTCCATCTGTATGTTTATACTTCAATAAAATACACCCCATCTAGACATCTAGCAACTAAAGCTACATGTTATGAAATTATAACCAACACAGTATGATGGTTTACAAACATACCATATCAAAGCTAGCATCCAGCTATGGAATCTTATCTCTATATGTCAATTGTATATAGAACTGTCAATTAAGTAGTAAAAAAAATCTTTAACGACATGTTGATGATTAAAGGTTATCATTCAACAGATAAAACAAACCCAGTAAGTAAATTATAATCCTTTAGAAGTAAGAATTCTATACCAAACTCCATACCTTCCCAACAGAAAGATATATATTTTTCAAAACATATGTTCTCTGCTTTTTTCCCCATGTTATCCTTTGTAGAAATGGCTGTTTAATCTCAACCTACTTTATATAATAATTCATATAATCAAAGTAAGAGTCACCATTATGCAAAGTGGTCAAATCGGGTTAAGGACGACAAACAAGGATATGAGATTTTAGCCAGAATTAATAGCCGCCGTGTCAACATCTCCATTTATCACTGGTCCACAAATGTGACTTATGTCTTTCATGTGAGCTTTTTCACACAAACCAATTCTCATGATATATTTGTGTAGATTAGACTTTTCACATATACATATATACTTATATCGCTGGCTCTTACTACTTGCACT